AAATATTTTTCTTCCAATTAATTACATTACATAAAATCTAAATGAATAATTCTAAAGAAACATTAAATAATAAGGCTTTTGAGTAATGGTAATAATTAATTGGATGGTAAGGTTTAATTATAATTTTATAAAATTTACTATTATAATAGGAATTTGAAGGAAAAATATATTGAACGTATAAGGAACATTTAATTAAATATTTGTTAAACTCTTCACGACGGTCAATATTAATCTTTTAGAAAATATTGGCGGATTTAAATTCACCACTATTGCGGAAATCGTTAGAGTGATAGGAAATTGGTGGCAGAAAAGCATCATAATTGTTGCGCAGTTTAATTGTTATCGGTTGCGAAAATTCTATCGAAGGTAACGTATTGATCAAATGTTTCAACACTATTCAAATATCGATTATATATACTCTATATATGTGTTTTATACTCAAGGATATCACGTATGAATATATTATTTTAATTTTAAAATTTATCATAAAATGCCTACGTTGTTTTTACAATATTATCATAATATAAATTATATTATACATTTTTGAATATTGTATGTATATTGAATTATATTAATTTGAATTATTAATAATTCATGCCAATGGCATAAAATAAAACGTTAATACGTATAAATTATGCACAGTATTTCAAAAAGTAATCATATGATGTACATTTGTTTATTAATATTAAATAAACTTGCTTATGTAGTGCGTTCTTTAATTAAAAATATATTATATTCAACGTATCTACGCTTACCAAATTAAAAATAATGATAAATTTTACTTGAAGTCATACATTAAATACGTAAAAAAACTTGTAAGCTTTGTTGGAACCGCACATGCATCGAACAACGAATAAACGATGAACTGATAATAAAACATAACAAATCAATTTATTCTTCTTCGCATATTCAAAGTCCTTTTATTTAGATCTTTGAATCTCATATTTACATATATGCATATGCAGCTTTGAATAAGGTTAATTCTATCTATTCAATACAATTCGTAAATCTAACTTCAAAACGATTAATCATTGTCACTCTTCGGGAAAATAAAATGTAAATCTTAATCGTGTTGTGATTTAAACCGATACTTGCTTTCCAAATTTTTTATTTCCATATTTATTTATGCTTACTAGAACAACAAAATTTTATCTATTATTTGACTGCTATTAAAATCGTTAGTTATTAAAATGATTAAAATGATCAATTGTGCTAGATTAGATTTTTTGAAAATAATTATTATATATTTTTATTTTATCCAAATTTTATAAATATTTTATAAAGAATTTTACAAATATTATTTGTGTAAAGTTATTTTTTACATTCCTGATAAAACATTACAAATTTAAAGCGTAAACTTTTAAAGCTATGGGTAAGAATAGTTTTTTTGTACTTTTAAGTTGTACTAGAAGATTTTAGTTTTAATTTTAAGAAGAATGGAGAATCATATAAATTGATAAGCTATATTAATAAGTGATAATTATTATCTAATTATTCATTCTTAAATAAATTTTCTATACGTCAGAAGAACTCAATATACAATAACAACAAAATGCTATATTGAAATTGTATATCGTTACATGTAAAATTTAATAAACAAATGAATGATGATTTTTCTCATCATAAATCTATTTAATTATATGTGCAATAGCTGGAACCAATTTTTTTTAACATAATAGCATTATAATGTATATTGAAAAACATAATAGAAACTTGAGTTTGTATTAAATAAAAAACTACAATTAAATTAATTATTTATGAACTCAATGTAAATTTAAATTATTTTCAAAATTTTTATACTTGTTTTTTAAGTGAACTTAAAGAAGTAAAAATTCAATAATTCAACAGTAAACTTATCTATTTAGGCTATACTATACTGAAATACGTAAGCTTGTTATCACATACGAACTTAGTTTTCTGTTACTTTTTTTTATAAGCATTTGTACGATGTAATTATACTTTATTGAACGATTATATTTTAAAGTTAAGATAAATAATGAAGTATTACAAGCTTGAAATTGAATGTCTGCATTCGAAAATTTATAATTTCACAACACTGAATTATATAATGCTTATTGATATTGGATGTTCCATTTCTATTTACAGAATATAAGATTGTGTATGTGAATACTATTTTAAACGAAAAAAAAACTGATATTTCTATAAAATATATATTAATAATATTAATATTTTAGCAATATTTAGAAATATTTTGTACTAAGTCTACTATTATAATAAAAATTTGAAAAAGTATTAAACAATTATTTAATTCACTAGTGAATAGAAGATTTTAATTTTTAACTTGGACAGCATATATTTTTCATTAAAACAATAAAATAAATTATTAATTGTTATTAAAATAAAATACCCCATCTATGCTTTATTCTTATTATTACATAATAAGTTACGTTTCAAAATAATTGTATTAGAGTACTTCTTTTTAAGTAGATATTTACCGTTTCTCGAAGAATAATTAATATAAAACAATGAAAAAAATATTACAAGTATAAAATATAACATGAAATAAAAATAAATTATAAAACAAAATTACTTACACTATATTGTTATTTAAAAAAGTTTTGTAAAAAGTACACCAGTGACACGAACTGCAGTCATATTATTTTGTAATTTTATTGTAAAGACGGGGTTTTTTTTTTAGTTACAAGTGAAAATTTTTAATACATTGTACCAGAAATCTTTTCAGATTGAAATTTTATATTAAACGATTCATTCAATTTTATAATCAATGCCATTTCACTTCTATTTTTACAATTATTATTATTGTTACTGTTTTTTTTTTACAATATCTCTAATATATAAATGTTTAATAATATAATTCCGTGAAAATCAGACTTTTACAACCAATTTAATTAAATAAAAGAGTTTTCATACTACGTGTAGGCTTTCACGGTATATGCATGTATACGCTTGTCCATGGTGTGGTGTGAATAGTGATGCATTTGTAAAATAAACTTCTAGATATGTATAAATGTGAATAAAAAAATATTTTTCAGGCTTTTTCAAATTAAATGTTTTAACTACAGATTAATTCGCATTAAATTAAATTATTCAATATTCAATATTACGGTTTCACATTTAAATTAACTTAATCAATCTTTGTTATAATGTACCACTCAATGCAAAATCAAACAACATTCACACAGTGATTCGGCATACAAGATTGCTCTATACATATAAGTATACATTACACATATATTCATGCAAACGTGTAGAAAAGTCTATTCGTGCAGGTGTATTATGTACACACATCAAAAGAAACATTGATGTCCTTTCGAAACACCATGCATCGCGGCTCACAATTGCGATTACACCGCCGCAAGGCGTAAAAAAGGTGTGTATTAACGTATGTGTGAGCGTCGGGCAGACCTTCAACAACACAGAGAGAATAGAACATAATGTGTAAAGCGATTTTCGATTTCGTCGCTTTATCGCCTGCCACTCTAATTCAACGCTTTCGCACACTCACATGCGCTCGTTGGACACGCATTCGCAGTTTAAAGAGATGTCGCTTATTGAGGACGACTGTATTTTTAATAACTCGAATGCGCTATATGTTGATAAGAAATAAATTTAAATAAAGAGAAGGTTAAAATAGACACTTTTTTAAATTTTATTTCATAGAATATATTAACATTATTTTCAATGTAAAAGAAAACGGTTATTTATTCCATTGGTCATTACCATTAGCTTAATTTTATTATACAAAATAACTTATTTAATAATAACTTCCATTTAATCAAGCTATAATTCCAATCTATTAAAATTACAAAATTTAATGCTATTATCGATATGGATACTATTTTAAAGTTCAATTATACCTTTACATCACGAATATATTTAAAAAAAGCGTATAAGTCATAAAAAACTTTGTACATTTAAAAATTTTATATCTATAAATTTAATAGTGGCATTACAAAATCGAAATAATATATGTAGTCCCAATGTTATGAAAGCTTATAGAGAGGTGACTTTTAATGACAAATAAAATTTGTTGTACTTTATTTTTCAGAAAGAAGTAAATTTACGTTAATAAGTTTAACGATAGAAATATGTGTGTGTGTGTGTGTGTGTGCGCGCGCGCGCGCGCGCTTGTGCATATGTGTCTTCACTCACACGAATTAGTTTGCCTGTAAATAAAACTCAACTTAAAGTAACATTGTTTTAAAATAAAAATTATGATAAAACATCTTCATTTGTCATTCTTTAATAATTACAAGAATTTATATTTACATATGAAATTCCATAAAACTTATTTATATATATATATATATATATATATATATATATATATATTATAATAACAGTAATAATAATAATAATAATAATAATAATAATAATAATAAATAAATAAATAAATAATAATAACTACAACAATAATAATAATAATAAATATGCATAATCTATATGGCAGGAATTTTTTATGAAAATATTATACTTGAAATTAAAAAGTTTATACTTTAATCTTTCGTACAGAATAATTGCAAAAATTAACTTTTATTATACCAAAGGAAATACAAGTTCCTATACTAAAAAATTCTATTTCTGCACACTTAATGCACATTTCAACAATCTATTTATTTCCTTATCTTGTGAAATTATACTTTCAATGAAAGTGTCATAATAAACATTTGATGATGAATGTAATTTCGAGAGAGAAAAAAGTATAAAATAAAATTAATTAATAATCATTCATAATTAATTCTTATTATTCAATAAATAACGATCCATACTATTATTTTGAAAATTTATTCTACTATGTATGCAGCTAATAAATTGTAGAGTAGCGATGATATTTATTAAAAAATCTCCTATACTCATAACCGTCCGATAATGTAGCAATGTAAGAACAATTGTTCTGCAAACCATTACGCTTCTTATTATCGGTACAGTCAACCCTAAAATTACTAATCAGTCGAGCCACAAGAGTAACTGTCTTCGACAAACATAATCGTCGCAAGCGCAATCGCCAAGCTCAATATCGCTCGTCACACAGTCGAGCGCACTCGCATTTATCTGTGGCAGCAACAGCAGTGGTAGCGGCGCCCGTTCGCTCGTGACATTTCCGGCCCAGACTTCCGGTTCTCGGGACGACCGAGTTTCCTCCCGAACCATGCCTATATCGTCGCGAAAAGTAAAAAAGAAACGAGGGAAAAGGAGCACGAAACGTCGGCGGGGCAAGCGAGAGCGACGATCAGTTGGACGCGCGATGAGTCGCCGGACGGTTCGCACCGAGTTGCGGAGCAGATCGCGAAGAAAAAAGTGAAAAGTGAGTGTGCGGCTGTTTTTCAAATGGTAAGAGCTCGAAGAAAAGCATTGCTCAGCTTGGACCATTTTCATAATGTGCGTCGACGAAATATACAGTAATTCGGATGATATGCGGATTTTTCTAGTTTGTTGTAGAAAATGAATATTTATCTTCTACGATACTACTAAGCTTTTCTATATTCGATTCTGTAATTCTCGCGAAATACGTTACAACGAATTATAATGAATGAGTGAAAATTCTTAAACTCATATCTCGTTATATATTCTCGTTAGAATCAGCTATGAAAGCGAAAGAGTCTTATGTAATGAAATAAAAATTCGTATGTAAATATTGAAATTGATTAAATTTATTCACATTCCTCGTTATTTTTATAATACAGTAATACAATTTTTTTTAATTTTTCGAGAATACATTGCTTCAAACATTATTATAACTTCTCGGAAACTTATAAACAACTCATAAATTTGTCCAACAAATAATGTATTCGTTGTTCTATTTTATAGTTCAAATAAAATTTCATTTGTAAACAAATATGATTGAATGTGAACATTGAGATTTTATCAGAACTATTTTTCGTTATTGTAAAAAAATATACACAAACACTAAGTTTAAGTGCGTATAATTTTTTGTAAAGAATTTCATACAAAATACTGTTTAAAATAAAATAATGGAAAAATTTGATTTGCTTGCCATATATACAGTGAGCGACCAAAATTTTATTAAACAGTATTTTATTAAAAAATTTTATGCATAATATTGTGACAACTCTAACTTAAACAAACTATTCTAACTAATAGTGTTCCTTATCTAATGAAATCTAATGACTGGACAGAATAATTGGACAGCCAATTGAATTGAATTTATTTCAAGTTAATTGCATAGTTGTAAAGAAATAACAACAAATAAAATATTCGAGTTCTAGCTGGCTTTTAGAACTTATGAAATAATTTAACAATTATACTGCATATCACCCAAATAAGCATGTAAACATGATCTGTATAAGATTTGCTCATAACCAATATAGAAAAATTATACGAAAAAGTGATGTGATATCGAAACCGGAGCGCTACCTCGCAAAATGATACTAAAAGCTTAAAAGGCTTATTAGTCCTCCTAAAATCAATCAGCCTAACTACGTAAATAGTCGAAAGCAACAGGAAAGAGCCTAACTTTAGTCATAGTTGTTGCGCGCAGGCGCGAGAAGATCCTCCCGGCATTCGCGGGCGTCAAAAGGAGGGAAGATGAGCGCATTGCCTAGCAGGCATAAATTGAAAATGGGCAGCGCAGGAAGGTATTACGGTGCCTACCTCGTCTACGACGTAGCCAACTCTTGCTTGGCTGCGCTACACGCGAAGGTTCCTCCACCACCGCCTTCCCCGATGACGATGGCAATGACGACGACATCCGTCACGCGCGCCGTCACCAGTACTGCAACGACCAGGCCAATATCACCTATTCACATACAAAATCCTCGTAAGTCCCGAAGTTTTTTGTACTCTGCTTTTATCCTCGTATAAACTTACATGCCATTGAAATAATCTTGTTGCTAAAGCTTAACAAGCGCATTATCAGTGTAATTAAAAATCAGGAATTCTTTTTCTATACGTTAGACATATATTATAATAGCATGGACATTACGAAGCGATGATATCGAAATCCTCCGATCGGAGAAATGATGAATTAGAATTTTTGCAATTATTGTTTATTAAAATTGTGCTTGAAGGAGGTGTTTCATCGTAGATAACTATAGAAACAGAATAAAATATATGAGTTCCGAATCAAATACTGAATTCAAATTTCTTAACTATTAAATATTATATCGGAAATTTATCAATCTCACATCTGCTTAGCCCGTAGAAAAAGTTCTAAGCTTATAGCTTTCAGAATGCAATGTTTTATTAAGAAATTAACTATTAATTATATACATAAGTTAATTTTAATTGGTTTTATAAAAATGTAATGTACTCGATATCTTGTGTAAATTCACTTATAAAGTATTCACGATCCTTAGCTACTATTCTAAATGAGAACGAATATTTAAAATTCCGTTTCTAATATTATTTTTTAACTGTATCGAAAATAAGAACGTACTTGAATTTCAAAATGAAATTCTATTTTGAAGTTTACGAGTCAATAAAACCAGCACTTTTATTATCAGTCAGCTGCTTATATTTCACAAAAGACACTTTTATAATCTAAAGCTGACTACAATGATGAAAAACGGTTACCATAGAATATTAAAATATTAAATTATAAATAATATACTTAAAGTATTATATAATGTTATTATTGTATAATAATATTATTATCATAGTGAACGATGTTTTACATAAAAAAAAAAATTCAAATGGAATGAAACGATGGCAAATTTAATTTAAATATAAGGTTCTTAAATTTTCGCAATTATTAAAAAATATATTTCTTTAAGGATGCAAGAATCAATTATTATAAACCTAATTCAATAAGTATAATTAACACCATAATCAGTCCTTTTTGACTAGCATATTTCTTAGAAAGAAATTTATCCGACATTACGGTAAAATTGAAAAACGCGTTATCTTTTAAAGTCAATTTCAAATTTCTTACTTATTTATTGCACTAAGTACATAAGATAATAAACAAATTATTCAGTTTTTAACACGATGCTTTATTTCTTAATAAAAAATAATTGCAAAAATTACAAACATAAGAAAATAATGAAATGTATTAAAAGTAATAAGAAAAATTTAGAGTGCACAAATAAAATGGAATAATCTCTGTTTTGTATTTATATGAACGTTCTACGAACCTTCAATTTTCAAACTTCTGATACCTAACTGCTAACTTCAATTCAAATTCTAGATTATGAGTAACCAAGTGAATAATAGACAGACTTGTATTCTATCTGATTATTCTTTTTCCGTTTTAATCTTCCCACTTTTCTCACCTCTCCTGACACATTACTACTTTATACTTTGTGAATAGATGGAGTTTGAGTGACCACGATCGTACTCATACGAGGTGGACAATAAAGGAAACCATCGATTCTCAAATAGGAATTGATTCTTTGTAGGATGCGAAAAGAGCTGCAGTCAAGCTTTATGAACATTTCAATTGACCTTGAGCGATGCTCTTTCTACAACTTGGTGATTGATAAGAATTCCAATATAAGAGTTTCTGTCGCTGCTAATGATGCTACTATTACTGCTTACACTCCTCATACTTATTCTGAGCATTAAACTTTTATTGCATTATGCAATGTAATTGCGGAATGTAATTTACTATGTTTTAAGCTCTATGTTTTAATTTCAATGTGTTTTTCACATTATGTTTATTTCTTAAAGGCAGCATGATTTTATTACATATTATACAAAATTAAACTATATAAATTTTTTAAGAATGTTATATAATCGACACTAGGATTATTAAATTCTTGAAAAATTTATTGACAATTTTTTATCAATCGTCTTATTTATTCATTGGAATGCGATAAAAATAAAATTACATATAATGCACAAAGCTTGATAGGAATATTATTTTATTAAAAAATAATATTTTTAAAAAATCAGTAATTATCGGGTATCATAATCAATCATATTGCACAATTTTTTGTACCAAGCATTATCTTACAAATTACATATGATATATACAAATTTAACAAATTAGCAAAATAGATGCAAAAAACTTAAACAGTAGCCACTTTTTATTTAGATAATTAACTATATTATTATTATAAATTGAAATATTTGTTCAAGAATCCGTATGAAATAATTTACAACATATACTAAAATTGCTCGATTCATTGTATAATGTATTATGTATATAAGAAAATACTTGAGTGACTAAATAACTTTTAATCTTAATAGCAAAATATTGAATAATATTTTATTATTTAATAATATTTTCATTTACAAGTTTTCAACGTGATGAAATTTTTTTTTTTTAATAAACTATTCTATGCATTAGCATGTTATATATAATTTTTAGAGAGTTTCGACAAATCGACATTTATAATAATATCCATTGCCGACGTTACGGCCGAAAAATTCAAATTATATTAATAAAATTGCAATTTCATTTCAAATTATTTTATTTAAAACTCGAAAGTAACAAATATTAGAATATTCTCATATTGCAAAAAAATAATAATAACAATGAAACTTCATTGTATTTTATAAAAATAAATAGAAACACATAGACTCCATTCAAGTTATTAGTGCGCACCTTAATACTTTATAAGTGATGTAAAGAGAGAAAACGTATATATTATCTGTCACATAATACTTAGTGAGTAATACGGTAGAGTGTAAATCTCTGTAATCAAGATACATATTTAATAGATTAGATCTCTGGCCTTTTCATAGAATTTATTATCCTAAAACATTAAATATGCATTCTAATATTTTCTATAATATGGTAGAATTTACTGATAAAAATAAATAAATATTTATTTTTTTTAATATCATATAATTTTTATTTTTCACTTAACCGAATTAATAAATTCTAATAGTTGTCGGATTTATGACATTTAATTAATTGACGTGAAATTCTCCTTTAATTTCCCTAGGAAGAAATTGAATTTTGTTTAAAATACAAATCTAAACGGAAACCAATGGCACTAAACTCATAAATAATCTGCATCAGACGAATGAAAATATCGATTACTTTACCTAACAATAATTCTCTATTTATTTAATATAAAATTTATGTTGAAATAATTATAGGTGATGAATACATTGGCTAAACCATATTTAAAAAATCTTATCGTTTATTCAATCAATTATTTCATGCAATCACATTTATTATTTTTTTATTTTTTATTTTTAAATTCAATATTATCAAAAATATAATAAATTTTAAGAAAATTATATACAAACTAGATATATATTTATATAAATGAATTAAAAAATCAATATTTATTTGGTAATCGAGTTCAGTCGAATGTATAGTAATATAACTATAGTCGAGAAATTACAAATAAAATTAAACTATTTTTTTTGCAATAAATCTAATTAATTTTATTCTCTTATATTTATGCGCTTTTGTACGATAATAGATTGCCTCATATAAATTGTTATCAAAGGATTACTGTTATCTTAATTAAAACTCGTTCGAAAAGACTTATCGGTTTTACTACCAGAACAATAACTCGTTAATTTCTTGGGGTTCATTTTTAGTTGCGTTTTAACTATAGATAAATTGATTGGGCTATCGAATTACCTTGGCTACTCCTTTTTATATTCTTCAATATACCTCAATCAAAATAATATTAATACTAGAGTAAGTAAAATATTTAAATCTTACAAATCTAGTTAAAATAAATCTTCCCAGTATCTTTTAAATTTTACTTTGTATAGAAAAATAAATATTTAATGGCTTAACAGAATTTACATAATTTAATAATAAAAAAAATGTATTAACGTATTTTCTTAATTTTTAGCAAGAAATAACTATGTAATTGAATGTTAAATAAAATTAAATATTCAATAATACATTTCGAATGGAAAAATCTATTGTTCTATCATTTTCAAGTAAAATAAAGAAACGAATTGTACATAGAATTGCACAACGTTTTGAATTTAATCTTTTTTTTTTATTAAGGCTGTGCATCAATTTGCAGAGATATTGAATATTTTGCATTTGACGATATATATATATATATATATATATCAGTTACAACTCGTCATGTATTTTTTTCTTTTATTCTTTGTAGTTTTAATAATTGATACAATACAATAGGCTACTCGCATCCGTTTAAAGGTGTACATAAGAAAGTCAATGGGTGACGGCATATGTAATATTTGTAGGTACCTAAGTTTTTCAATATATCTTTTATTAATTTTACACAGACCTCTATTGCATTTAAATAGCTATATTAGTGTAAAAATCATAATGTAGAAAGAATATAATTTAGCACAACGTTGTAATCAATGTAATAATGAAATTTTAAGAAATATTTAAATTTCCAAATATTCTCTTATAATTTTCTATTGAATAACACTTAAAAAATCTATGGTTAGATAATAAATAAATATAGTAATTAGGAAATTAAATTAATAATTTTATATTAAAATTATGTAAAACCAAATTCGTCATCATTAATAAATATTAGAGATTAAAATAAAATCATATAAATTCAAAAAATATAAAGAATTGTCAATAATATAAAAACTAATTTAACTTAACACAAATATTTACTTGAATAACTTTAATATAATAATGGATTTTATATACTTTGAATAACATTATATAATTATAGAAAATATTAACATATAAATTATAATTTATTATTAATTCTGTATTTTATATATGAAATATTTGTTGTACAATTTAATATGATTTTCCATTAAATTGAAATCATAAAATTCGAAATTCTGTGGATATATTTTTCTTTCTAATTGAATATTTAATCATTTTTACAATTGCATTTATAAAAAAATTTATAACTTAAAAAAAATAAAGTATTTGAAAGTAATTTAATGATTTTATTCTAA